TTATTTTAAAGTAAAAGTGGGGTTGACATTAACATTTTCCCGAGGTGGGGGGGAGATTTACAATCTGAGGTGTGTGGTGCTTGACTCAGGCCCTCCAACGGTTCCACCATCAGCGGCTGTGCTTTCAGCCACTACTCCCTGAAACTCTAGAACTCTCTCCATCAAGCCCTCCGCCTTGCCCTCTCCTTCCCCATTTTCAGATCACACCTGAAGACCGTGCTTACAGTCACCTCCCCACTGGCTCAGTGTCAGTCTCCGCCACTGTTAAGCACACTGAGACGCTACCCCACGCGAAGGGTGCTATATAAATGCAAGTTGTTGTTGACTGCTATTTGCTAAGTGTTTCACTTTCTTAAAAAAAGTTTCTATTTACTTGCAAGCACACACGTATTCACAGCTTCTGTGAGGCTGTTTTTATTTGCACTTATTTTTTATTCTCTTAGAAGAGTTTCTCTCTTTCTCCCCCCCCCCCCGCCCCCCACCACCACCCTTTATAAAAACTCTCTTTCAATATGTGTAATTTGCTCCTTGCACAATGGCATATTGGTTTCACCCTCTGGCATGGCTCTATGGGGAGTGCTTTACTGATAACTTACTGCATTAACACGCTAACTTTCAACAGTGGCAAAATGCTTCCCTCTTTATGGTCCAGGCTTTTTCTAATGGTTATCTTCAAGCGCTGCCCCTGGCAATGCTGTAGCAAATAAATAGAAGCTGACACAGTAATTTACTCAAATCTTCTCTACAGTTTTGCGCCATTTTCCTCCAGAGATTACCCCGTAACAACAATTATTTCAAATGTCATTGATTTCTGCCCGCAGGCTATCGGCAATTGAACATTAATCTATTAACAACAAAAAAAATTAAAATTGTTTTTTTCCTTAACCCAGCAAAGGTGAGGAGAGAGAGTGAGCAAGAGGGAGACTTGTGTCTCTTGATTTAATTTATTTGAATTTATCTTATGAGGAGGCGATTAATGATTTTAACCTTTAGATGAAATGGACAGTGTTTCTTCAAACTGTGGACGCAAATTTTTTTTTAACCCTTCTCAAATAATGGATTTTTGGGGGAAATGGTAAAGTTATAAAGGGAGCGAGATAGAGAGAGAAAGTGCAGAAGAGGGAGAGAGAAAGAGATGTGGCGAGAATGAAAGAAAAGCAGTATCAAAGAGAAAGAGACAGAGGGAGGAAAAAAGAGATGAACAAAGAGAGAGAGAAAGAATGAGAAAAGAGATGGAGAGAGAGAGTCAAAGAGAGGTGAAGTGGCAGAGAAATGAGAGAAATAACAAGAGAGTAAAAGAGAAACAGGAAAGAGAAATAAGGAGAAAAGAGACAGAGATGGAGAGAGAGGGAGAGAGAAAAAAAGAAGTGATAACGGAAAGAGAAGAGATGAATAAAGAGAGAAAAAGCGATGGAGAGAGACAGAGAAAAGAGGCAAATATTGAGAGAGAGGGATAAAGAGACAGAGAAATGAGACAGAGATGGATAGGAAAGAGAGAGGGAAATTGAGTGAGAGATAGAGAGATGGAGAGAGTGCGAGAAAGAAACAGAAATAAACAAAGAGAGATGAAGCTATAGAATAAAAAAATAAGATCCTGAGAACAGAGCAGGAATTGGAAGAAAAGGAGACGGAAAGAGAAGGAAAAAAGAGACGAAAAGCGAGAGAGACAAAAAGATACAGTTTAAAAAAATCAAAAATAAAGAAGTTTCTTTCAATGGACATTTCCTTTCAAAATCCATTATAGTTTAACCAGACTCGTGTGTGTGTGTGTGTTTCTGTGTGTGTTTGCCCCTTGTTCCACGCCCTGTCAATGCAGGGGATCGATTTCCGTGTTTAGAAAAACACCTATTAACCATTATCCCTCGAGTGAAAGGGGGATCTCTATGTGACTAACGGCACGGCAGCTTGCCTTGCTATGCAAGTTGTGTGGCAGCAAAAAAAAAGGCACTTGGGGCCATCAAGGACCCTGGTAGGAGCCGCTTTATAACACGACAACGTCACAATCGATGCTGTGAGGCAGAGCAATTGAGGTTACTTGCCACGACTTAGAGAAGGAAATGCAGAAATTACAGGGTTCATTAGGATTAGAGGACACCATGTGAATTGTCACTTTGCATCAGTTAAGGAAGGAAAAGCTGTTATCAAGTTCTTTTTCAGACCTCAACAACCCACTTCTCTTCTCTCCCACAACCACGCCCCCTCCCCCCCCCCCCCCCCCCACTTAATTTTATCTTCACAAAGCGTTTCAGTAATAAACTGCCTTGAATCGCAACATCTGGGTCAAAAAGGAGATTATATTCCATAAATATAAATCATGGCCAATTTCCATAATTTTTCATTGGAACTGTTAACAATGTAGTATCAAATCTGCAGGAGCAATGAAAATGAGCTCTTGCTATTTATAAATACACTAACTCAAAAGTGCTTTTTGTTTGTTTCTTTGCCTATATCATAATAATAATATTAATGTTCTTTGCGTTTGGTGCAGCGGCTTTCACGTCAGGACGATGTCTCAAAGCGCTTCACAGGATTTACTTTAAAGTGTAGTGACTGTGTATGTATTTTGTAGGCAAATTCCCTGGCTGTTTGTGGGACATTGCTGTGCGCAATTGGCTGCCGTGTTTCGCCCGCAAAATACACAGTCACTACACTTTGCAGCATATTCTGTGAAGCGCTTTAGGCATCGCATGACCATATCAAATGCAAAGATTGAATTATTTGAATTATTATTATTCAAACATTTAACAACAAACACAACTTGCATTTATACAGGGTGCTTCACGTGAGGTTACGTATTGGAGTGTTTCACAATGATGGGGTTGGACTCCGAACAAGGGAGGGCGGAGTGGGGGGCGTTCCCAAAGGGAAAAAGGGGAAGGGAACCACAGACACAGTCCAAGAGCTAGTTTTTTGGGCAGGATTAAAAGACAGAGAGAGAGGGTTGGAGAGACGAGATAGAAGGGTAGAGAGTGGGAGATTTCCAGAGATGAGATGCTGAGTTGTTGATTATATGAAAGGAGCTATATAATAATAATAAAATTTGTTTTTACAAATTGTCCAGTGAATCTATCTAGTTGCATTATTATAACTAATCAGCCATGAAATGAATGACCAGTTTTATATGGGGGGGGGGGGATTGTTCACCAGGACACTGGGAAAGAGAAACTTGGACCTTGGTTTGACCTCTCATCCAAAGGATGGATTTCAATACAGATAGAAGGAGCGAGGCAGAGGGATAGATGGAGAAAGTTGCACAGTATAGGGACATAGTGACTGAAGGCCCAACCACTGAAGGAGAGGGCTCTATCCTATATGTTAAACTGAGATCGCGCTTGCCTGTTTAGGTCAACATTAAAGAACTTATGGCGCTATTTGAAAGAGAAGGGAGTTTCTCCCAGTGTCCCAGTCCAACAATCGTCCAAACGAATTGGTCATTTAGCTCATGAGATCATACAGACAAGATTAGTCTGGATGAAAAAGGCCTTTTGGCCCACCTGGCACTCTGTTTGTCGGACGTTGCTGTGTAAATTGCTCAGTGGGTAGACCACTCACCTTGCAAGCAAGAGACCGGGGTTCGATTCTCGGCAGGGCGAAATGTTAGGCAAGTTTCCTTACTCCACACACCTCTGTTTACCTAGCAGTAAGTAAGAACTTTGTTGTTAGTCGATTGGCAGATAGCTTTTCATTCAAAATAAATAAATAAATTGGTCACTCAATCCACGACGGTTTGCGGGGCACTGTTTTGTGCAATTGGCTGCCGCGTTTCACCCACCAAATACACAGTCAATTCACTTTACAATATATTCTGTGAAGCGCTTTGAGACATCTCAATGACGTGATAAGGTGCTATATGAAATGCAAGGATTATTATTATTAGAAATTGGCAAATGTGTTCACCTACAAAATGCACAGTCACTACAACAACAACAACTTGGATTTATAGAGCGCCCTCCACGCTGGATGGCGTCTCAGAGCACTTCACAATAACGGATCCCGGGGCCGAGCGAGGGGGAGGGGAAGACGGTGACCAAAGGCGCAGTCGAAAAGAAAGGTCTTTAGCCGAGACCTGAAAGTAGGAAAAGAGGGGCGAGGCGAAGGGAGTTCCAGAGCTTCGAGGCATAGTAACTGAAGGCACACTGCCGATGGTGGAGCAGAGGATTCGGGGACAGGGAGGAAGCCAGACCCAGTGGAGCGAAGGCAACGGACACTGTTGTGAGGAGAGAGGAGGTCAGAGGAATAAGGGGGTGCAGAGGAGTGGAGGGATTTGAAAACAAGAGCGAGGATCTTGAAATCGATTCTCTCTGGGTCAGGCAGCCAGTACAGTTTGGCAAGGACTGGGGTAATCGTGGAGTGGAGTTTGGTACGGGATTAGGAACTCATCACCTTCCTGTTGAGATCTCAAATGCATCAGCCTGGCGCAGTGGTAGCACTCTCATCTCTGAGACACAAGGTTGTAGGTTCAAGCTCGCAGGTCATGACTTGGAATCGCATAGTCTAAGCTGACACTCCAATGCAGGGCTGGGGGGGTGTTGCATTGCCGGAGGTGCTGTTGGATAAGACATTAAACCGTGATCCCATCTGCCTGTTCAGGTGGATGTTAAAGATCCCATGGCACTATTCAAAAAGAGAAGGGAGCTTCTCTCTCCCGAGTCCTGGCCAACAACCTCCCAAATAAAATTCTTCTCTTGAGTCTTGACATTACACTTGACACTACATAATAATAATCCTTGCATTTGATAGTGCCTTTACCACATCATTAAGATGTCTCAAAGTGCTTCACAGAATATACTGTAAAGTGGATTGACTGTATATTTTGTGGATGAAATGCAGCAGCCAATTGCACACAGTAGTGTCCCACAAACAGCCGTGGATTGAGTGATCACATTTATTTTTAGGGATTATTACCTCCGGAAAGCAATCTGCCAATCGACTGACAATCAGGTTCCTACTTACTGCTAGGTAAACAGAGGAGTATGGAGTAAAGAAATTTACCTAAAGTTTTGCCCCACTCGGGAATCGAACCCGGGTCCTCTCGCTTATGAGGTGAGCGCGCTAACCAATACGCTATGGGATTCCGCATCCTATGAAGCGTATTGCGATGTCCTCCTGATGTGAAAGTAGCTGTATCAAATGAAACCTAGGGGATTCCCTCCGCTGGCTGAGGGAGCTTGAGTGGCAGCAAACCTGGCACTGAAAGTTACCTAACCGTGTGAAGCGAGTTTGAGTGATAGACAAGGCTGGGACACCCAGACTGAGGGTGAGGGAGTTTGAGTGACAGGTAGCCCTGGGCCTGGTACTCAACCAATAGAAGCAGGCGAGGTTTGAGAGACGGGCTGCTCTGGACCCACCCTCACAGCAAGAAGTGGCACAGAGCAATGAGTGAAATTAGGATTAGGAACTCATCACTTCCTGTTGAGGTCTCAAATGCATCAGCCTGGCACAGTGGTAGCACTCTGGTCTCTGAGTCACAAGGTTGTAGGTTCAAGCTCGCAGGTCATTACTTGGAATCGCAGTCTAAGCTGACACTCCAATGCAGTGCTGGGGGGGTGTTGCATTGTCGGAGGTGCTGTCCTTTGGATGAGACGTTAAACTGTGGTCCCGTCTACCTGTTCAGGTGGATGCTAAAGATCCCATGGCACTATTCAAAAAGAGAAAGGAGCTTCTCTCAGCCGGGTCCTGGCCAACAATCTCCCAAATAAAATTCTTCTCTTGAGTCTTAGATGGCGCATTTCATGGCACAATTTGAAAGAGTAATTTCGATTGGCTTTTGTGGCTGAACACAGTATTATGAGAGGACCAGGGGAAGTGCGTCATTGTGGCTATTCTGACAATACAGCATTCTTCGCAGGCCTGCCAGCCAGACATCAGCCTGGTTCAGTCGGTCGAACTCTTGCCTCTGAGTCAGAAATTTGTGGGTTCAAGCCCCCTCCTCCCCATATAGTCTAGGCTGACACTCCAATGCTATGCATTGTCGGAAGTGCTGTCCTTCGAATGAGACATTAAACTGAGCTCTGTCTGCTTGTGTGGATGCTAAAGATCCCATGGCACTACTTAAACGAGAAGTGAGTTTTTCCCAGCGTCCTGGCCAACAATCCCCCAGGATAATAAAATATAGCTATTCACTTGATGGCTGTTTGTGTGACTTTGCTGTGTGCAAATGACACCTTCCCCCCAACAGAGAGGGCCTCGTCCTCTGGTAAGACTGTGTTCAGCCACAAAAGCCAATCAAAACAAATTGCTCTTTTAACCTGGTAAGAAACACTGCATTTGTCTACAAAATTTACAGTGTGCATTTTACAGTAAAAATCAGGTGACGACATCCTCATGTAAAGTCACTTGAATCCATAACTTTCTGACCCAGAGATGAGAGTGCTACCAACTAGCCCCTATTATTTATGTGCAGCACCTTCAAGTAATCTTTCTGTTCCTGGTGCATCCCAAAGTGGGTTGGAGTCAGGTACATTCAAGAGCTCTGAATGGCAAGCTATCCTAAAACTTGCCAACCTGTGCCTAATACTTTCCAGAATTAGGTAAACAGGGTGCGTCCCACCAGGGAGAGAGTGCGCTTTCCATTCCAAAAATCTATCTCTGGGATTTCCATATGTAGGTGGGATGCATGGAATTCTCAGTTTGATTTGGATAATCTTAACAACAACAACTTGGATTTATATAGCGCCCTCCACACCGGACGGCGTTTCAGAGTGCTTCACAATAATGGATTCCAGGGCCGAGCCAGGGGGAGGGGGAGGAAGGTGACCAAAGGCGCGGTCGAAAAGAAAGGTCTTCAGCTGAAATCTGAAAATAGGAAGAGAGGGGGCGAGGTGAAGGAAGTGAGGAAGGGAGTTCCAGAGCCTCGGGGCATAGTGGTTGAAGGCATGGCTGCCGAGGGTGGAGCGGAGGACTCGGGGGACGAGGAGGAGGCCAGACCCGGTGGAACAAAGACAACGAGCACTGTTGTGAGGAGAGAGTAGGTCAGCATGCTGATAAGTTTCCATATGACATCCAGGAAAGTTAATTAGCACAATTTCAGGCACAAAAATGCGTGTGCAATTTAATATCTTTAAATTGTTAAATTGTGCAACGTAAAAGTGAAACTCTGGGCATTCCTGACTTGAAAACAACAATAATAATAGTTGCATTTGATATAGTGCCTTATCATGTCATTGAGACGTCGCAAAGCACTTCACAGGATATATTGTAAAGTGCGCACAGCGATATCCCACAAACAGTTGTGGATTGAATGACCAAATATTTTTTTTGAAAGCATTATATACCCCAGAAAGCATTCCGCCAATAAACTAACAACCAGGTTCCTACTTATTGCTCAGTTACCAGAGGCATGTGGAATAAGGAAACTTGCCTAATGTTTCGCCCCACCCGGGAATCAAACACGGGTCCTCTCACTTGCGAAGCAAGTGCTCTAACCACTAAGCTACAGGATTCCGCTGAGTGGTACATCTCACACACTAGATCAGTGTTCTTTCTGCGACTCATGTGGTTTGGAGAGAAGCTCTGAACATGAACGAGAATTGGCTTATTCAGTGCGCTTGTGTATGATGGACAATAACTTTGGTTAGCTGTTAATGGGTCATAGCTCCATGCTTTTGTAGTATGATGATGGCACTCCCTGTCTGGGAATAATGCTCACTTCACTGGAAAACCATTACAAATGGTCCTCTTCGAAGGTTATAAATCGGCAATATAAAAGTAATATAAATCTTTTATGTCGAGTTATTCTGCTTTACAGGGCTTGCAATCCAATGGAATTCACCTTCAGTCAAAACTTTAGACCAATAACCTAAATGTGAAGGCAGATAGTATATTTGCTGAGGGACTGAAGCAAGGTACACAGAAAGGATTCTAACCTATGTTTTCCTTATTTAAAAGCTCAACAGTTATACTTACTAGCCAAAGTGCCGTTTAATTCTTTTTGTGCATCTGTGTGTGCTGTAACACTCAAATGCAGATTAAACGCAAGTGCAGCTATATTTATCGGCCAGTGCTATATTTATCCACAGTGAGCTATATCTTCCCCAGACTTGTGTCAGTAATGCCCAAAATGCTTCTTTTAAAGTAATTTGATATTGTATGTGTGTGATATTGTGTGTGTATGTGATATTGTGTGTGTGATATTGTGTGTGTGTGTGATATTGTGCGTGTGTGATATTGCGTGTGTGATATTGTGTGTGTGTGTGTGATATTGTGTGTGCGCCACCGTGCAGGTCAAAGTCACAACAAGGGTGCCTCATCCATTTCTAATACACACAATTGGTGGCCAGCAATATATATTATGACATTTGAGTAAGCAGTGTCTCGCATTAATACCCACTGAGTGAAGGGTATCCAGTATTAATAGTGGAGGCCTGGAGCATTCGCATCGCAAGCAAGAGAAACCGTAGCCAACTTTTCTTACTCTGCACACCTTTGTTTACATAGCAGTAAGTAAGAACTCGGTTGCTAGTCGATTGGTGGATCGCTTTCCAGGGATCACAATCCCTTTAAAAAAAAATCAAATGTTGGTCACTCAATCCATGACTGTTTGTGGGTCACTGCTGTGTGCAATTTGCTGCCATGTTTTGCCCACAAAATATACAGTCAATCCACTTTACAACAGATGCTGTGAAGCAATTTGAGACGTCTCAATGATGCAATAAAGCACAGCATCATATGCAAGGATTGTTATTATTATTATTATTATTATTGTTGAGAAAGCGGCATCAGCATACCAAGCCCATCTGTGTGCTCCTGCTACTGTTGAGGGTGGGAAGCAGTAACTATTAACTGTATTAAAAGCAGCAAAGTGCACGCTGACTTGGCAAAGCTGTGACTCATTGTCAATGATCCCATTTATTTTGCTATCACTTCGCTGATCCAGACAGTAGGAATTGGACTTGTAGTGTACGGCTGCAATCCTTGCTGATCTTTAATGTCCGGGCATTGCTTATTTCGCTGTTTTTGCTCATTTCACTTCCCAACAAAGCATAATGCGGTCATATTAAGGAGCAAAGCACCATTTCTCCACGGTGAATTTAAATGGGAAATAAGCAATCTCTCATCAAGCTGAAAGATCCACATTGTTATTATCATCATCACACTTGGCAAATATATTTCACTTACTCAAACAGCTAACTCAAGATTCAATCCATCCACCACCACCACATGTCCATTGGCTCAAAGAGGATTTGACCACCCTGTCTGAATCACTGCTGCCTCTGGTGGTGATGAGGGTAACTTATAATAATAATAATCCTTGTACTTGATATAACACATTATCAGGTCGTTGAGGGACGTCTCAAGCAATTCACAGGACATATAGTGCAGTAAAGCAGTGGTGGTCAACCTTTATGGTCGGCCAACACAATACGTTTTCCTGATTGATTATTTCTTGATTTAGACCATAAATCAAGAAAAAAATGAATCCCAACTACCGAACGAACATGGAGTTACCTAGACTTGTGCAAATGTTCAGGGTGATGTGTCCTTGCACCCTACCAACTTCCCATCGCAGCATCAAGCTATTTTTTTGTTGCATCTTAAAGAATTATTCTGGATTTACTTAAGCAATCCCATTATAAATTTAATGCACCTCTATAAGGTCCCCTCTGAGATGCCTCCTCTCAAGACTGAAGAAGCCCAGTTGTCTAATCATTGCTCTATCTAAAAGGCTTTGCTGCTGGGTAACAAAATCCGAAGGTTGCTGGCGGCTGGATGTGTGTAGACTGCTGGTAAATGGCTTGTTTTTCTTAATGTGATTCAACACGAGAGCCTTCGCCACCACATTAGGGAAGAAAGTTAATCAGTAACTGCTTGCAGATGATTGCTATTGTCTGCTGAGAGGAAATCATTTGTGAATCTTTGTTTTTGTTGTTGTTGGTTCATTTGTTAGTGAAGACTGTTCAGTATTGAAATAATAATAATAATCCTTGCACTTGAGGATGTGCCACATTATTATTATCATTACACTTTCACATCAGGAGGACGTGAAAGGCGCTTTACAGATGTAATTTTGTTGTCGTTATTGTTGAATTGCAATGATCTCTCCACTTTGTTTCCAACTTGTTTCTTCCCCCCCTCCCCAC